CCTGACTGCTTTATTTCCCAGAGGCACCGGCTCCGCGTGTGCCCATTTATCAGATGTTGAAATAGTTCAGCTTGCCTCTGTGCCCCACAGGCTGGAGCATTTGTTTGTGAAAACTTGTGTGTGCTGATTTTTGTGAAGCTCCGTTTTTGTGAAGCTCCATTGTGAAACTCTTGAAGTTATATAGCTCAAAACTAGCCCCATCTCTACAACTGGCTGATGACCATCCCTCAGTCTACCTTAAGATCTCCAACTTCAAGTCCTGTTACAATTTTATGATTCAATGATCTCTCTTCTCTACATCTGACAGCGGTGCTCCCACTTGTGCACATACTTTACAGGAACACAAGTGGTCAATGAATCTTAGAAATGATTGCATAAATTGAGTATGAGTGTGTTAATACTAACAAAAAAAAAAAAAACGAGAATAACCAATTCCTTCCTACGGGACACATTTCACTTTTCAAACACTGAATTATGCTGTCTTATATCAGCCACAACTCTGACTTCGTATTAGAAGTGGTGTCCTTGTCAGGCAGGAAAGGCTGCCTGAAATGTAAATAGTGTGAAAGCAGCATCTTCCAGTTCTCCCATTCCCTGGCAGATGCTTGATGGAAAACGTCTGGATTTCTATTTTAAAGACTAAAACCAGGCCAATCTGTGCTCGCAGATCTTGCACACCAAATGCATTTTCAGAAACTGGTAACTATAAGCATAGTGACCCAAACCAAAAAGCTACGGTTATTTAAGGCCTATACAAATCAGTGAAGAGATTTGACGGACTTCAGCTTGTGACTAAGGGAAGGTAAAACACGTTTCTGATAGCAAGGCTCCACACTTCTGCAGAAGCCTTCTAAGAATCTGCTTTCACGCAAGTAACTCCATGAGATGGGAACATAACCAAGCACACTCTTAGTATGCTTACTCTTACCCTTTCACAAAATATACACTCCAAAAGTGTAAATTAAGTATCTGATTTGATATCCTTTACAAAGCCACTCTTACTAGAAAGATACAGTCCTTTTCTGTTGCTGAATTTCCTGTTTTGGTACCCTGGGGGCAGCTGTAAACCCTGCAATATTTGTTCAGAAGCATAAAAACTGTTTTCTGCAAGATTTTATAATTTTCAAGTCATTTCCTGTTTTCCCTCTGTAGTCAAAACCCCATTTGGCAGGTATTGAAACACAAAAGCCCCCAGTTCAGTTTGAGGAAATGTTCTAGGACTTAAGAGAGAAGACCTAAAAGATAGCTCCAATTTTCCATTACCTGCTCTCACCAGGGCAACTTTGCTTTACTGTGAAGTAATCTTCCAGCAAATGATGCTGTATAGAACAGCCCATCTCAGTTCCTGAATTGTTTACGTAATAGAGTTAGTCTTGGAAAACACTGTGCAAGCCACAATCGGTGTCATCCTCCTCCCCCAGAAAGAACCTTCTGGAAGGAGAAATAAAGTGAATTTTGTCATAGGCTGTATTTTTCAGAACTGATGTTTAGGCAGCTTCTATTGAGATGTAACCCAAAATGTAAAAACAAAACAAAACGAACTAGTTTGTGTCCAGTTTGAGACATCAGAGCCTTGGTGTGCAGAATGAACAAGCATGCACAGCTCCAATGGAATTTACAAGCACTCTGCATGCTTGACACTCCTGACCATCAATCCTGAAAGACATAAATGTCCTCGAAGGATTTCTAGAAGTTACACAGAAAAATCATATATGAGCACAGGCAACCCTACCCTGAAAAGTATAGACCTTGGGATACATAATTCCATGTGTTTTTAGGGACAACTGTAGTAAAAAAGGGTATGATTCCTGAGATATTTCAGGAAAATTGTAAGGATTTGGTTGTTACCTGAGATTCCCAGCACAAAGAGCACTGGAGCTCTGCAGCAACAGTCCCTCCTTCTCTCCAGTCCCCTCCAAGCAGAAGCTCAGCCAGCACAGTCGGTGCCCGGCTATCATGGTGACACTTCTCCCTGCTCAGTGTGCCTCGCTTTCAGGATCATAGCAATGTTTGTTGGTGGGGAAAGGAAATCTGGAGCTGGGTTTTTGCAGCGTAAGGGACATAATGTACACGTACAGATTATTTCATTCGGCAGAGAAATGCGATCCTCTTCCGCCAGGCAGTTTGCCAACGGTAAAGCCAAACCAATAGCACAGGAGAGATCCCCACAGAGAACGACACTTTCAGAAGAGTGCACTTGGGTGGTACAACCAGCCCTAATACCATCTGCAATCTACTCCCTACCTCTCTCCAGCTGTGTGTGAACAACCGTACACAGATGTGCTCACCAGTGACCAAAAACACACTGCTCAGCCTGGTGTTGGCGTTGCTGCCCAACAGCCTGGCTCCGAGCCTGGTTTAGGACACAGGGATACTTCCCGTTGCCTTTGGTGCTCCTGAGGGCATCTTGCAACACTGACTGAGGCAGAGGAAAGCACATCATCCCACCCAACTTCTGCCACAGGGACGTAACACTTTGCAGGATGTATTTGCCATTTTCTCCTCCTCCCCCGGCTACGTTTCACGCTTTGCTCTGACTGCACTGGAGACAGCCCGAGCCTTTCATGAGGCTGCGCAAATGACTGATAGGGTCAGACAGGAAGAAGAGATTATGAAATGAAAACAAAAGGGCTGCTTGTACTTCAGGTCCTTTCCACCTCCTCCCTTACGCTGCTCTGATTAAAGACATGCAGAGCAGCCTTGAAAAAAACAACCAAAAAAAAAACCTGAAACACCACACACACAAAACCAAAACAAAACACAACACCCCACAAACAAGCAAAAGAAAAATGAGTAACAGTGACCCCTGCACATCCTGTGTATCCATGCATTCTCCTGTTGGAAAGAGCTTGCTGAAAAACTTCATTGGAATCATCACAGCATTTCCTGAACAAAAAGACCAAATTGCAACATCTCTGTACAGACCTAAACTTTTCTGTAACGGCGTTTAAGTAAACATGTAAGTCCACCACCAGCCAGCAAAGACAACACTTACCTCCAGATAAGTACGCACAACTTTTAATTATAAAGCGAAGCACGTTAAGTACTGCTTTAAATGAAGATGGATTGTTAAATCAGAACCTTAGAATAATTCCCGTATTTTCACAAAACCTATTGGCTTAACAGAATTATGACACAGTGAGCCACCGTTGTATTAGAAAACCTAAATTTGGTGGAGTTCAGAGGGAAACTGCTCTCTCATTTCTCTATTTCCATACCCTCTCCCAAGGGTACATGGGCCTTTCTGGAAGCATTTTTGTTTGTTTCCAATCAGTGGGCTCAGCAATGCCTCTGAACTTTAATACCCTGGCTCAGCACCATGCTGTTCTCAGAAGCAGGCAAGTTCCTGTCAATGATGTCCTTAAGAAACAGTTTCATCCTGAGATGGCAATCGGTAAGAGACATTCCTAGCTTTTTCACTAACTCGTTTTGCATCTATGGGTAAACTTTTTTTTTTTCTTTTTTGCACTTATTTTATGAATTTATCTAAATTTTTCTGAGGAGTGGGCTGGACCAGAAAGGAGCTGGAACTTGGAAGTCTCTGATTTCTGAGAGCCCAAGAGCTCCAGTGCTGGGCTCGGCATGCAGAGCTGTGCAAAGAAAGAAATTCGGCTAATAGCTTGTCCTTCTTTAGAAAGGGCCACTCATACACCTGGGACAAGTTTGTTTATATGAATAACTATTAAGATGAATTGTTTTCAGAGTACCTTTGAGAAAAATGGGATGAAATTTAAAAAGACCCTCTTCCTGTTCTTGATGAGAATCTGAACTAATCATTAAGAGCAGCCACTGGTTTGTTCCAGTTTGTTTGTCACAGTGTACCACGATCACTTTTCTTTCTGAAAATGCATATAGGAATCTAAGCATTCCATTCTCATAAATAACCTAGCCATGCGGTTGTTTTGTTTTCTTTTATTTTTCTTTTCTCTTTTTTTTTTCCTCTTCCAAGTTAAAACCTCTCCCACAGGTCTGCTCCATCCTTCTGCAGAGGTTACCTCCTCCCCCTCTGTCAGTAGAAAGGAAACAGATCTGTAGGTCAGCTGCCAGGCTTCATGCACTGGTGTCCTAGCGCTGCGGGACACCAAGGTACAGAACCTGAGGGGGCAGAAGAGGCTGCCACCCAGCCAGGAGGAACACTGGTGTATTTAGCTTCCATGTGAGGGCTGATTAAAACTCACAACATCTCTTAATAATAGATGTGGTTTAGTAGATTATTACTTGCCCAAGTTTCAGAAAAGGATTAATACAAGTCATTACTGCCAGAGTCCTGCTTCACCCCCAGTCCCTGTGCTGCAGTCTTTGCCTACACAAGAGCAGAGTGTTCAGTATCTGTTACAGATGTTTGTAGAGCGATCATCTAGTCTTGCATATGTGCATCTTGATGCTGACGCACAAAATGTTTACCAGAAAAGAGTAACCAGCACTGTACAGACAATTGTACAGCTGTCCTACTGATAGCTACACATGGAAAGGAGAAATCCTCTATCCCTGGTGGGTGAAATTAGAACTCCCAGGCTTGGAAACCTGTGGGCAAAGATAAATGCTAGAGCACAGCAAGCATGGCACTTGAGGACACGAGCTGAAAGAGACTTGGACGTGCAGAAAGATTCAGTCAGTATTTACTACAGAATTAAACACCCTGTCCTAAAACTATTTCAGTATCTCTAAAAGCACATTCATTACCAAACTTTCTTATATAAACATAGGGGCACACTTTGAAATAAAAAAAACCACCATCAATTCACTGCTGGAAATAACAGGAAAAATATACTTAGTGTTGTCCCTTAAATATTTTTAAGGAGAGTTTGCAGAAGGGAGGGAACTCCCTGAACACCTCGCTCTGCCTAAGTCCCCTTTCCCCCCTTTGCTAAATAAAAGTCTTCTGAAAGCCACGACAGCTCCTGTAACTTTAAACCTGGGCTGAGTTCATAATTTTGGTACTGACCAAACAGAGTGCAGAGGGCGGGTCTGGCTCTTCTTTTTGAGACCACCTTAGGCACGCTCCCCTCCCACCCCTTGGCTAAACAAAAAAATGCTGACTCCACTCAGATCCTTTGCTCTAGCTGTATAGTTATCATCTGGGAAAACCTTCCCCCTTTAGCAACAGCAGCTAAAGGAATACTTGGAATACCAAAGTAGTTTTTGCAGTGACTTCTTTTTGCACTCTCAATTCTCACCCGCCTCTAAAGAACTTATCAGAATCTAAATCCATCTGGTCTCAGAAGTGGAAAGCTCTTCTCTAAGCCGAGGAAAGATGTTTATTAAAGTTCAATTCTTCATCTTCATTCTAGGGAGCGTGCCTTTCATAGCATTTGCTGAAGAAGGTAAGAAAAAACCTTTGTTTAAAATTATTTCCAGTGATTTCCTTTAATTTAACAGTTTGTGTGCTTACTAATAGGCGATACAATTGCTCTCTCCTTATTATAAAACTCTTCCTTTTAATTCTTACGCTACCATTGAGTGTATACTATGCTGTAGCAGGAAAGAGGTGCATCAAAAGTTTTCAGATAGTCAGAGTTGTGCTCTATTAGAAAAGACTTCTGTGCATCTGTGTGAGGGAAGGAGTAGTTTGGAAGCAGCCAGCAAAAACATTACATCAGCAGCCCTTGGAAGTGTCTTCGGTTTCACCATATAAAATATGCAGAGAAGACTGCAAGCAGTAATTTAGTTATAACAGATATTTTGATGGTGAAACTGCCTGCTATGAAAGTCATCTATAAATCTTTCCATTGAAGAGTTTAACTTCTGCGCTTAGAGGCATTACCGCAGCTTGGAACTAAAGCCTTATCGAGAATTCTGCTTGTAAGACGTTGGCCATAGGCAATATACTTCAGCGAGGGAAGCTAAGAGAGGAAGAATTATTACCTAAGACAGATTTGAGAAATGTTATATATCTACCCAGGAAAAGTTAATTTCGTGAACTATTTCTTTTGAATTTTATAAGAAAAATACCAAATACACTTTAAAATGTAATAGATTTTAAGTCTTACTAAAGATAAAGCAAAGAGTGATTTACTGACAGTAATGAGAATTGTCCTGAACAGTACTTGATTCCAGGAACAGCACATTCAAGTTCAGTCTGGTTAGCATTTGACTCAGTCTGAATGAGCTGGCCATCAGGCAACGGGCCCAGGGGACGCCTGTGCAGACAGCATGCCCGCGGTGGTGAAACACAGCAAGTGTTGCTGCTGGACATGGGCATTGCCTGCTCCAGGTATCAGTTCTCTGAACACAGCGACCCAAAACTCAACCCACTAGTTTTCCAAAGCATAAATTCTCTTCTCTGACTTGGATTTTGGGATATGGCCTGATGTTAGCCTGGTGCCAACCAGTATCATTCTGCTGGAGATAACGGCTGTATCGATATGCAGGATGTGTAGATGTTGGCTTGTGACTTAATTGGCATTCCTGGTGTTCTCTGTGTCTCAAAGGTTGGAGTTACACTCAAAAATTTCACAGAAAATCTAAAACTGATCAATGTTAGTCAAGTTCCCAATATTGCATTTCTCCATCCTAGAAACTTAAGGCTCAAATCATTGGCTCCCAGCTAGCTGGTCCTTAGCAAGCACCAGTATTAAATATCCCGAAATTTACAGCCATTAAACAAGGAGACAAAAAGAAACCACCATTTTCAGAATTATCGTAAGCAGTTTCTAAGATAGCAGAACTCCAAGAAAAGAGATCTTCCATCTTAAGGCTTTTGGGGAGGTTTTAAGGATATTTTCTCTCAACTCTGAGTTAAGGAGCCCAGCAATAATCAGGTTGAAATCCCGCAACCCAAAAAAGTTAAAGCATTTTAAGCAGAAGATTTCTGTTAAGAGTAGCACAAACTCAAGAAATCATAACAGGAATTTTTGATCCCAAAGTCAGTAACTTGGTTTCCAACAGAAAGGATAAAGCTCTTTTAACTGGGTCAAAAAGCAATACAGAACAAAGCTGTGAAGGATAAAAATACAATACCGATGTGGAAAAGAAGAAAATTAATTCATTTCCTTCTTTATATGTGAGCTTCCAAATAAAATTAATGACAGAAATTAGCAGAAATACAGAAAGAAAACCTAAGAACAAATCTTACCTCACTGTCTACTTACAAACGCATTCACGTTAACTTTGTATTATCCATTCATGATTTAAATCCTGACTGAACCAGCCAAGTATTTGGTCATACTTACCACCCAAGGACAGCCCTGAGCGCCCTACACAACCTGATGAATTTTTAGACTAAAGCATTTCCTTTTGAATGAGTAGGAGATACACATTTGTCTTTCTGTGATCCTGTTCAGCATATAAAAACCTCAGGCAAAGCTTAGCACACAGGATCAAAAGAAATGAAATGGAAGTTAGCCTAAAATCTTTCTGGGCACGGCGTTAATCACATGATGAAAAGCACAAGTATTCCAATGAATGTTTTACAGGCAACACATTTCCTGCCTTGAAACCTTTCCTATGGTGCAAGTATCATTGCGGATAAGAGGATTACTCTACGGGCTGTCACATAACATGAACAAAAATTAAGATGATTGTTAACAAGTTTCCACATGTCACTTGAGCTGCATCAACTGTACGTGTGCCTGATCTTAACCAGAGGCAAATACTAAATAATGCCTCCTTATGCAAGCCTCGAAATAAAGCAGGTCTGTGCTAGGTCATATTACTTTACATTTGGTCTGGTCTCAAGGTTAGCACATGGACAGGTAGGGTAATCAAGATGAAAAGGTTTTTACATGGTAAGAAAGGAAATTGAAGTTTACAGTCAACCACGGAAGTCTACAAAGTTTTCTAAATGTTTCAAAATCAAAAACTAGGATTGAGAAATTGCAAGAAAAGGTTTTTCCAAATATATCTTGATCTACCCAGCTGCCACTGCCAGTTCAGTAGTAAAGCTAAACAGTGAAGTTAGGCACCTCTAAACTCTTCTGAAAAAACAAATGCCGTAATTGCAGGTAAGAGGTAAAGTGAACAACCAAAATGCACGTGAGTGCAAATGGGAATGAAAAGCTTGGTTTGTACCTGCGGTATTTTCAGTTATTGGAGCAAATAAACCATGACTTTAACGTCTACTCTTCATATGTACAATCGCTGCTGCATAAATACCCCAGGAGACTTTCCCCTAGGCCTGCTGCCCCACCGCACTGCCTGCTCCAGCTCTTCTGTCCCGATGGAGCACGCAGGACTTCCACCCTGCATCCAGCTGCATCGTGGATGAGCGCACATCTGCGTGCCTCTGTATGTGCCTCTCAACCACTACGTTAGCAGTGGTTGAGATATGAATCTAGCTAGATATGAATCTAGCTGTACATATCCAATACCCAAGATTTAATTACCGCAAAAACATCTCACTGAATCTCAGTTAGTGGGCCTGCAAATTAGCGAGTGCACATTGCAGCGTCTTGGTAAAAAGATCAGCAGAGAGCACGTTTTTCATTGGAAAAGCAGGGATGCTCGTGCATCTATTTCTCAAAACCTAGGAGTTCAGTTTTTGAATCTATGTAATTTTGTACAGAAAGGAAACGGTCATATTTAAAAGCTCACAAGTGGGCCTTTCATTAACTCAGGTGGCACAGTAAAAACGGGAAACAGAGGCTGGATTCTCAGCTCCTGTAATTCAATAGCTTCCACTGAAACCATGCATTTACCCTAGATCTAGCATTTCTAAACCATCTGCAGAAATATAAGCAGCCGACAACCTAGAGAGATAAAAGAACATATTAACAGATAATCAAAAAATAGTAAAGCAAGGTTAGCCCACAGTGTACAGGCTGTGGCCTCTGACAGAAGCACCCAGTGTTTCCTCCTTGTGTCATTTGAGGCAAACCATACATGCGTACCACAGACATAACTACTGTTTGCCCAGCTCTAACATAAAGTCTCTGTCTCAGTTGTTTGTTGTGTTGGTTTGTTTGCTTTTTGTCTGAGTGCGGTCAGGGACTACAGGATGGAACCCAGATGCTGCCAGGTCCTGCTCTGCCCCTGCATCCCAGCTCCATGCTGCAGGCAGGCAGCCTCCAGGCGGCCTCCACTGCTCTGCGGGCACACAAACCCCATCCTCAGCTCGAGTTCAGGCAGCAGCACAGCTCCTTTAGCTGGGTGGCGCGCAGCTTGCTCCATGCTATTTGGTAACAAAACACACAATTAGGATACAGGGGCACTGGGAAGTTTAAAGAAAAATGAGAAAAATTATTAGACAAATTTATGATTCAGTTCCAACTCACTGTCTCAGATGCCTGGCCAAAGACTTAAAGGAAACAAACTGGTGCTGTGTACGTTCTCCTGTTGCTTTATGATTGCCCCGTGCTTGTCCACCATTGTATTTGTTGATTTTAGAGACTACAACATCCAGCATATATTGTATCAAAAATCCTTTGCAAGGGTACAATTCAGCTGTGCACCTCATTTCGGGCAAGCAGGCAATTTCTTCACAGGACCTGAGTAGTACACGAGCTGCTGCTAGATGTCTAAAGGGGATATACTTCATTCCAAATACGTATTAAAATGTTTTTATGACTACAAAACCCATCCAAATACTAGCTTGTGTATTATTAGTTAGGATGAATGTCAGACTAAACATACTTGAGTGGCTCTTGCTTGCTGGCAACGTTACACTGTGTGGCAATCCATAGCAACTAGCCAAGAACCATTGTGAACAAAATTAAAGGCTAATCAGTTTCCAGTTCTAGTGTTTAGCATCCATATTTCAAAGAAATGAGTTAGGAAATGATCACACAAAGAGTTCCGCTGACAGATATAAGGGGTTAGCAACCTTCGTGATGGTTGTGATAAACCACCGCAGGAAGTAGCTTCCTCGAGCTGGCAGCTGTAAGAGGGGACAGCTACAGCCTCAGAGTTTTTGGCAGGAAGTGAATCAGAGAAAAAGATTCTTTTATTACTGTATCCAAAGTAATTCCTTAATTCCTTTCATCTGTATTCATAGACCACCATATTTGGACACAGACTGTCTGCTTTCTGCTGCATACCCAGTAAAATTTGTCGATCTGCTGCATAAAATTCTGTACTTTTCTCCTTGTCAACCTGAGGTCCCTTGGAGTGTCCCAGCCCCAACACTCCTCCCATTCCAGCCTTGCCATGATACACAGTACTACAGTGCTGCAGTTTTAGGGGCCACGCACAGAACAATCCAAAACAGACTTACCCTGATCTCATACCTCCAGTCTTGTTGCCCCCATCACACCTTTACTGCTCAGGAAACAGAAAATTGCTTGTAAGACTGCTGCAGGGCAACCTTGTGGTTGGTTGTAGGGCAGCAGAAATCATCCTTAAGAAAGTGTTCTTTTAGACAGGTTCAAGAGAGAGCAACCCTGAGGTC